CGTTGCCGACTAGAGAACTTCTTTGCAATTCCCCACTTCGTTCCCTATCTCCAACTTTCAGTTGAGAGAGAGAGAGTTTCCTACGACGACAAAGGATTTTCCGGCGACAATATCAGATCTATGATGTTTGTCGGTCTATTTTGTAATGTTCGTAAGTCTGGTTTTTAATGTTTCTATAAATTTGGTTTATAACTATGATTCTAGTTTGTCATTATTGTCTATTATGTTAGTAATGTTTATATGACTAATTTGTATATATGAATATTTGTAATGTTTGTTTGTCTAGTTTGTATACTTTATTTATGATTTGTATATATTGTATTTATTGATTTGTGATACAAGTTTACCAATTTGTATTGTAAATAGTGGTATTTTTGAACGGTTAGTATGCTTTATAATTTTCCGTCGGTTTGTTTTGTAATGTTTGTCAGCGCTGTAATTTTTGTCTACAATGTTTGTAATGTTTACACGACTAAAAAACAGTCTGGTCGACTTTGGTACGAAACTCCTCTATATGGGACGAAGGTTGAAAAGTCACCCAAGTTGTTTTCCATTTTGTATGGCTTGCAAATCCATTTTGTATGTTTTGTAAATTTAGTTTGTATGGTTTGTATAGTTTGTCATATTTGTCCACAATGTTTGTAAGTCTAAAAAATGACCTGGTTGACATTGGGACAAACTCCTCTATATAGGGACTAGGGCTGGAAGTTTGGTATCGATATTTGGGATATACCGAATATTGTACCGAATTTATCCCTATCTGGTATTGGTATTCCCGAATACCGATTTGTTTTTGAGGGATTGGGATTGTGATTGTGATTCATTTTGGAGTGCTATTCGTTATTCGAAATTACGGGATTGAGATCGATATATACCAAAATACCGAGAAATACCGTAATTAAAAATTAATTAAATATAGCACACAACGTTTAGTCATTCCTTATTCTTTCACAACTTAGAAGCCTCATCCAACTCAATTTTGTCTTTCCAATTTAAGTCACTCTCGTCTCTCACATAATCTCTTTTTATTTTCATAACACCAAAAAACAAACACTAGTATTAGTCGTTTCTCAGCCTCTAATTCGTCAAATTAAAGATTGCCAATGACAAGAATTTGAGATGTCACCTCTCCTCCATTCTCCTAATCCATATCCTAGCTCTAGGTAAACTCAAGACTCTTTGTTTATTCTCTTTGCGGGTAAATTGCATGGTTGGTCACTAAGATTACAAAAAAACGTTCACGTTTGGTCACTAGAAATATTTAATTCTGTTTGTGGTCACTAACTTTACATTTTCGTTCCATCCTTAGTCACTCTCCTTCCAATTCCGTCAACTTTGTCCTACGTGGCAGTCAACTCTAATAATTGACCGTTAAATAAGCGGCGTGGATATTAAAAAATAATAAATAATATTTTAATAATTTCCACCTCATTTTCTCAACTCCAAGGTTGTCGACCCACTTTGACCCTGACCCGATGAGAAAAACGGGTCGCACGCACCCGCCGGGTCGACTGTTGCAAGATACCGGGTGGAGGTCAAATTGTGTCAATTTTTTCTTTGGTTTGCGAAATGCGCCTATTTTTCGATTTTTTCTTTCGCCTAACTCTATCTTTGGAATACTAAGTTGAACATTTGAATATATATGTTATATAAGTGTGTGTGAATTTTCACAATATGTTGGATCTAAGTACGACTTGTTATTTTGGTGGAATATTATATATTATAACTCATATGTTAGATGAGATTTTATATAATTTATTAGGATAAATACAATATAATGACTATTTTTATATTTCCGGGCTAAAACGGGTGATCCATTAACCCTTGACCCACTAACTCGACCGGGTTCAAGTCAGCCCGCGGGTTGACAACCTTGCTCAATTCTTAAAAAAATAATTCTTTTTAATCTAATAATCTCCACTAAGTCATTCAAATCCAACCACTGCACAAAGGTGGCAGCAACGACAGCGCTGCCGGGCATGTGACCTGACTCGGAGACGGTGCTGCTTGGTGTCGGTGGGGAAGCAGCCTCCACAGCCACAAGAATCCCTCTCATGGTGGGAGACACTTCAAACTGGATCTTCTCGATGTAATCAGGCAGTGACCTTCTTTTTGGTTCAGCTAAAGATCAAACCCCCAAATTAAAATCTAAACAAAAACCTAATCCCTAGTTTAACAAAACTTCCCAAACTGGCAAAGCAAATGCCCAATAAAAAAATTCTCAAATCACGGAGGCATAATTTTGGCACATCAGAGGATTATCGGGGCTTCCATCTCTGTCCTCAATCCCGACTTCGACCGTCGCGGCCGAGACTTCTTCTTCCGGAACGGGAGCACCAAACACGACCCTAACAGCGCGAGAGAGTGGAACGCAGTTCTCTTGATCTGCCATCGGAACGAGCTCCTACTGCGCCTGCTCCTCATAGTCCGAAACAGAGTAGGAAGATGAAAAATGAGAGAGAGAGCGAAGAGAAGGGAGGACTATTGTGGTTTGAGGTGGAGAAGTGCGGGGGATGTGATGTTCTAATGGTTGGGAGTGAAAAGGAACGGGCGCCATCTTTGTGTTATCACATTGAAAGGGGCATTATGCACCTTTACTTCTCACGGCGACGACTAGCAATTTCAGACGAACGGGTCTTCACGATGGATTTCGCCTCCGAATTTCATCTGCTTCTGGCACAAAGACGTTTACGGTGGCAGCGATGCTGGGCGATAAGGGTGTCAGGCGAGCATCCCTTGGAACGTTGGATGAACAGGGAGGAAGACACACGCTGCAGAACAATAGGAATTAATTAGGGATATTTTTTTTTGGGTATGTTGAGAAGATAAGGGTAAAGTAGTCGTTAGGTGGAATTGTTAAGTAATTATTTTTTAATAGCCACATCACTCGTTTAACGGCCAACCAGTAGAGTTGACTGCCACGTAGGACAAAGTTAACGGAGTTGGACGGAGAGTGATTAATGATGAAACGAAAATATAAAGTTAGTGACCACAAACGGAATTAAATATTTCTAGTGACCAAACGTGAACGTTTTTTGTAATCTCAATGACCAACAATGCAATTTACCTGTCTCTTTGCCTTAAATTAAACAATCAAATCTAATTTCTATGTTTAATTATTAATTACAAAGATAATTAATTTCGTATTCGATAATACCGATTGAGATACCGCAATACCGATTGAGATACCGAAATATTTAGGGATTGAGATTGTGATTGATTTTAGGGTGTAATTTGGTATTCGAGATTTCAGTATTTGGTATTGAGATACTGATACCACACGAATTTCCACCCCTAATAGGGACAGAGCCTCCAAAGTCAACGAGGTTTTTTTTCCATTTTGTATTATTTGTCGGCCTAGTTTGTCATTTTTGTCCCCCATGTATGTAATGTTTGTATGTCTAAAAAACAATGGAGATGACTTTGGGACGAAACTCCTCCTTATAGAGACGGAGCCTTCAAAGTCAACTTGTTTGCTTTTCCATTTTGTATGGTTTGTAATGTTTGTCAGTCTAGTTTGTATTGTTTGTATAGTTCATATTTTTTATATTATTTTTAAATCTGATTTATATGTTTTGTCATTCTAATTTATATTATTTGTATGATTTATTTATAAATATAATATATATGGGTTAATATTTTCGTATGGCCTGAACTTTGATCAAAATAAACATCCTGGCCAATCTTTTCGATCTATAACATCCTGGCCCGAACTATACACCAAAAGAAACAATTTGGCCAAACCCGATGTTTGACCGTTAACTTGGACGGTCAAACGCGTTGACTAACGGTCAACGTGCCACATCACTGCCAAGTCAGAAGATCTGATAAATATTTAATTTTTTCGTTTTTATTTTTGGTTTAACTAAGGTATTAGATGATTTTTTAATTTATAGTAATTTAAAATTAGAGAATGAGTGGAAATTGTGAATTATTTTAAATATTTTATGATGATTTGGCAGTGACATGGCGCGTTGACTGTTAGTCAACGCATTTGACCGTCCAAGTTAACGGTCAAAAGTCGGATCTGGCCAAATTGTTTATTTTGGTGTATAGTTCGGGCCATAATGTTATAGATTGAAAAGATTGGCCAGGATGTTTATTTTGTTCAAAGTTCAGGCCATACGAAAATATTAACCCAATATATATCTCGTAATTTTCACAATATCAAAATTACTCATTGCTCCACACAACTTCGTATGCTGAAATTAACGACCATGATGGATTTGAAACGAACGACAGGAGATCTGGTTAATGGTTATGCAAATCAAGTGTTTTTGATCGATCTACTCCCACTAGGGCTGGGAAAATAGACAAGACCGTTAGAAAAACCGTGGTCCAAACCTACCGCACAGTTTGGTCTGGACCGTAGACCGTGAATTATGGTCTGGTCTGGTCCATGGTCTGTATTATTTTATGATTTGATCTCTTGGTCTGGTCTAGACCGCGGTTTACCGGACCAAACCGTGGACCCAACTGACTTGTCAATACGTGTTAACAGCCCATTCAACCACTCTCCAAACTCCCACAACGACACCCAAGTCTCAACCTTAATTTTGTGAATCTCTTCCCTCCGTCATTCACAACCACATTTAACCAGAGAGTAGAGATAATAGTGTCTCCATATGACATTATGTTAATGTTTATGACGTTATGGTGCAAGCTGGGATGTTTTTACTTTGTATCTTTGTTATGTACTAAGATTTAGAGTATCAAAATTATTCATGCATGTTAGGATTAATGTTTTAAGGCAAATAACAATTATTTTTCTTGGTTATTGGTTCAATTTTTTGTGTGATTGACTAAACAAATTATTCATTTTTCGTTGAGTGTGGTCTATCTGGACCAGACCAGACCGAACCAGACCGCACAAGCGTGATCTGAACCGGACCGTATAATATATGATCTGATATGTGATCTATACTTTAGCCTCTCGATCTGAAATATAGACCGCATATATGATATGGTCTGGATCCGCACCGTTTCCTAGTCCTAACTCCCACGCAGGAGATTGCCAGGTTGGGCAGAAACGAAAAGGCGAGCAAAGCTATTTTACTCCCTCAAAACTGGAAAAGTGAGACAGAGCACGCACACGAAAAGGGAATTTTTGTTCTGGCTGGCGTCCGTCTCTCGTTTCCTCTACTCTCTCCGGTGAACGGAAGTAGCCAACGTGGAAGGCAAGAGCAAAACGGAGCGGGAAATGAGGTGAGAATCGAAAACCATGAAAGAACGAGCTCCCCGTCTCCCTTCCGTCGCCTCCATCGCCGTCGCCGTGCTACTTGTCACCGGTCTCCGCACCGTCTACAGCGCCGAGTTCGATGGAGACTACTCCAAACTGTCCGGGATCATAATCCCTGGCTTCGCATCCACTCAGCTCCGAGCCTGGTCCCTGCTCGACTGTCCTTACTCGCCTCTCGATTTCAACCCTCTCGACTTGGTCTGGCTCGACACTACCAAGGTAGGTTTCTTCCCTCCATTGCTCTCCGTCTGTGCTATGTGATCGTCTCCTAGTTTCGCATTCTGAAATATCCATACGAATCCCGAGCCAAGCGTACTTTTCGTTGTTCTGGAGGTTCGTTAGACGATTGGTAGTCGGGATGAGGGAATCGAATTTCGGATTGGCGCTTTTTCTGTCGCTGTAACGGCACTCTTTGCCTAAGAATTATAGGGCTAGATTCATATGGTTATCACTCCTTGATGTTGGATTATTGTGAGATTCGGCCAGCCTATTAGTATAAGAGCAAGTTTGAAGGAGCTGACGTCAGCTTCCTTTTGTTGTTCTGTAGCTTCTCTCTGCGGTGAATTGTTGGCTCAAATGTATGATGCTCGATCCCTTCAACCAAACAGATAATGCTGAGTGCAAGTCGAGACCTGATAGTGGTCTCTCCGCGATCACTGAACTTGATCCAGGTTATATTACAGGTTTGTGACTTGTCTTTGTACCCATTTGTATTCCTTGTCGGTTAGCAGAGCTTCCCCCCACCCAAATGTTGAGTTTCTCTTAGCTTCGAGGAGTTAAATGTACGTTGGAAAAGAGTTAAATGTATGTTATGTTCTTCAGGTCCTCTTTCTTCTGTATGGAAAGAATGGATTAAGTGGTGCATTCAATTTGGTATCGAGGCAAATGCAATAATTGCTGTTCCTTACGATTGGAGGTTGTCACCATCGATGCTCGAGGAGCGAGACCTCTATTTCCATACCCTCAAGTATGTTTGTTTCTATGGATGCAATCATATTTAAGAACAATGATATGGATCTCTGAATTAATCTGTAATTCTCTGCTAAACCATTTATTACATGGAGATAAATGAAGCTCTTGCCATTTAATGGTTCTGTTTGACAACATTCTCTATCTCAAAATCTTATACACTGGCAGATAAAATAATTGTTAGCTGTTTGTTATACCTGCACTTCTCTAGATTGCTAAATCTAATAAATAACCACCAGATGCCGCTTTATCTTGTGACTTAATTATTCTTCCATTTTTTTTTTCTTCTTTTGCCTTCTTTGCAGATTGACCTTTGAAACTGCCCTCAAACTTCGTGGTGGACCTTCTTTAGTATTTGGTCACTCATTGGGTAACCTTGTATTCCGGTACTTTCTGGAGTGGCTTAAGCTAGAAATTGCTCCAAAACATTATAACCAATGGCTGGATGACCACATCCATGCCTACTTTGCTGTTGGTATGACTAATTGGCACTGAACCTTATCTTACAAGTTTAGTTCAAGATGGTTAAATCTGTGCACTTATTTGATTTATTGTCACATGTGATCAGGAGCTCCTCTTCTTGGCTCACCTGAGACAGTGAAAGCTACTCTTTTTGGAAACACATTTGGGCTTCCTGTTTCTGAGGTGACCTATTTTCTCTTTAATTTTTTGTAATCATTCCATCAGCGGCTAGTAATATATGTCGTTGTTCAAAGGCTATCAATAGTTTGTATCGATCTGGAATGGTCTCATAATCAGTTACAATAGATAGGAGTACATCCTCTCTCAGTTTTCTCCAGTTTCTACTAGTTTTAAGAGTCTTTGTTCTACCTTTAGTTGTTGTGTGTGAATATTGTTCTCACTGATGTTTATTCTTTGGCAAGGTCCCAGGGAACAGCTCGATTAATGTTCAATTCTTTTTCTTCTTCACTGTGGATGATACCACATTCAAAGTATTGCACATCCGATAATCCTTATTGGAAACATTTTTCTGGAGGATTCAGAAAGAAAAATCAAACATATCACTGTGAGGAGCAAGAATATCGTTCAAACTACTCTGGATGGCCAACCAACTTGGTCAACATAGAAATCCCTTCTATTCCTGGTAAGAGTTTGGTTCTGATTTGGTTGAGGCAATATTACTCTATTGCTCACATATGCTTTATCTATGTGCGTATTCATAGGATTTGATGCCTATCCATCACTCCAAGAGATGGTCGAAACAAACCTCTCTGCCATGGAATGTGGACTCCCTACTCAGTTATCTTTCTCAGCCCGTGAAGTTGCAGATGGAACTCTTTTCAGAGCCATAGAGGACTATGATTCTGACACCAAGAGGCTATTGTACCAGTTACAGAAGTATGTTTACTATTAATCAATGTTGGTCCTGCTGATAGGACCTTTACTTTTGAGTCCAAAAAGCGCTTATTTATAAGAAAGACTTCTTTCTGGCCTTCACCGTCCAATATCATATTCTTTCAACCCAAGTTTCAGTCACAGTAGAAGATATTTTACTCAGCTTGGTGCACCCTGCCCCACCATATTCCCCATTCTGGTTATCAGGTCCACAGCATCGTTCCCGTTCTGTACACATATATGGGTGTTGCTGTTGGAGCACCCCAGCGAACATCTTCCTGTTTTCTTTCAAGCGGTTGACAAACTAACTCCTATACCCCCTTCCCCATTTTTGTAAATTGAACTGCTCCAAGGTTTTCAAACCATATCTACCCAAGGGTGTTACCTAAACCATATCTTGAAACTATTGTGGTCAAGCTAGGTAGCAGACCTGCATGGATCAAAATTCTGGACTGTGATTATTCTTGTTGTTTTCTGCTTTTGGGTGCAAGATGATACTGATCTCCTCTGGTATACTGCATGCATTTGATAATAGTGGTAACTCATCAGTTGAACTTGTGAAATAATTGGAGTGGCTACGAAGTGCAATTTTTCCATCATATTGTTAGATTAGTCTTTTCTCTGTGGTATGTGAAAGTACATCAATTATATCTGTTTGTGATCCACATATGTCAGTCCATTAGAAGAAATGTAAACACCTTTTAGCTTCGCTAAGTCAAAACCATGTTCATGCAGCTGGGTCACAGGGGATATAATCTTCAATATTGTATTTTTCAGGTCATACCATGGCGATCCTGTTCTTAATCCACTTACACCCTGGGAAAGACCTCCTATTAAAAATATCTTCTGCATATATGGAGTAGATTTGAAGACCGAGGTATACCTATGTCGTCACACCTTCATACTAAATGTTTTATGCGTTAACTGCCTTTTCCTTCTGGTTTAGGCTGATATGATGCTATCATTGCTTGCTTCCGCTGGATTTTTTTTAGAAACTCTGACCATTAGATACCATTTTTAGCTATGAATACATTTACAAAAATATTTATCTCCTCGTAGCCACCAAGCTTTGGCAGGATTTTGCTTTATTCACCAGTTTCATGCTTGAAAATAAGGGTCCAGTTATGTATAAAAATGCATTTTCACTGTGCTCCCTGCATATATATGAAAGTCTGAGCTCTGAGATTGTACTAGGGTGAAATTTTTTTACAAGCGGATGCATGCAGATCTTTTGTGCTGTTTGTATATGAGTCAAATTGCTTATCCGATTGTTTGCCTTTTGTTTTTGATGAATAACAGCTAGATAGTTATAATTGGCACAGAGTTCATTCTTATGAATTGCTGATGATAGATTTTGTATTTGGAAATGTCAAAGTAGGTTGGTTACTATTTTGCACCGAGTGGCAAACCTTACCCAGATAATTGGATCATAACAGATGTTGTTTATGAGATTGAAGGATCCCTCTACACAAGGCAAGTATCACAACTACTGTTCCATTAGTTATATCATATGCGTATACCATATGATCTGACAGTAGCCCCATTTGCAAAGAAGCAGTCACATGTATGCTTTATGGCAAGTTATGGTCCCCAAACAACTGAACTCCCCCACTTGTAAATATACCCAAAAAGGCATGGCCGACAACTGATAAGTGCTGCATTACGATGGTTTAGCTCACACACCATTGGTTTTATAACTCCTTTTATCAGATTGCCATCCATACCCTGCTTGCCAACACTGTCTCTGCCACTACCTTCCTTCTTTCATATATGGCAAGCAAATCCAAGCCAGAATCAGGGAAGAGAAACACATAAAGCCCGTTTAGATAGGCTAAAAACTCCTGAGATGGAATTCCATTTCTAATTCTGTGACCTATATATGGAATGAAAATAGTTGGGAAATGAAATTGCATTTGACCTAATAGTTGCAAATTAGTATTACTACCACTAGTGGTAAGAAATGGGTTTATGGCAATAGTAGTAATTTCCCACCAAACTTTATTAATATGTTTCCATTCAACATTTCCACTGTCTTCTTTCTCTATTCTCGCATTTCTTTTCCCAAGATAAAAATATATATTCAACAATTTATTTATTTATTAAAACTACAATGCATTTGCGTAGTTGTGGGAATTGTTCCAAGCAGAAGTAGTGCAAATAAAATTCTGGAAAATAAGTATTGGAAATGGATTTCCATTTCCGTTTCCGTAGGAGTTGTATCCACACAGATCAATAGTAGTTTAGCTGATGGCCTGATGCCATAATCAGTCCTGTGGCAGTGCAGAAGTGTTGTCACAAACTAATCTTTGCCCCTTTATCAGGTTAATTTGTTAATTGTCATGGTAGTCTTGCTTTAATGTTGAGTGGGCGGCAGTTTGTTTCGTCGGTTGTACATATCGCAATTCGTTCTTTCTAATGTATTTATCCTGGAACTTATAGGTCTGGGAATCTGGTTGAAGGGAATCCAGGAGCTACAAGTGGGGATGAGACTGTAAGCTCATGCAACAAAACATGCATTTTTCCTTTACAAGAGTACCTGATCCGCAGATCCTTGAACACCTTAATATTGGTTCTTGGACCTGCATCCATGTGTTTTCTCGGGAGTGAATATGCTGTATGTTTCAGGTACCATACAATTCCTTATCACTATGCAAGAGTTGGCTTGGACCAAAAGTGAACATAACAAGGGCACCCCAGGTATTCTCAGGCCTCATCCAGTGAGTTACGTCCTTGTCGATGTTTGGTTTATCTGCTTTTGACATAAAAAGATGAAGTTAATTATACTTCCCCATGTATTATTGGAATACACCTTGCCTTGTGTTTGACAAATCAACATTGTGACCTCTGGGAATGACTATATGATACAGGAATGCCAGTTGAATATTTGTATCTGAAGATTATTTTGAATCTCTGCATGATGTTTATGCGAATTGCAGGCTGAGCATGATGGATCTGATGTACAAGTAGAACTGAATGTTGACCATCTCCCTGAAGAAGATATAGTTCCCAACATGACAAGGTCTCCAAGGGTAAAATATATTACTTATTATGAAGATTCCGAAAGCATACCAGGAAAGAGGACAGCAGTGTGGGAACTTGATAAAGGTCGGTTTATGGTTTCTGTTCACTTTGGTTTGGGAATATGAGGGGGAATTCATCTTATTATGTGGAAGCAGGAAAAGGAAATAAAACAGATAATTTTATGTTACAAACCAGGAATTCACAACATGACAAGTAATGATTACTCGAGTAACTCAAACTATCCTTTTGTAGCAAATCATAGGAACATTGTTAGATCTCCGGTTTTAATGCGGGAGCTGTGGCTTCAGATGTGGCATGACATCCGTCCTGATACGACATCAAAATTCGTTACAAAAGGTTTGTCTTTTCATCAATCCTCTTCTCTCCAACTCTGGCTTGGATACTTATTCACTAACATATAATATGTAATAGCTAAGCGAGGTCCCCTAAGAGATGATGACTGCTATTGGGACTATGGGAAAGCTAGATGCGCTTGGGCAGAATACTGTGAATATAGGTTAGTTGGTCACTGTGCCCTCAATTGTGTATTCATCTTGTCGATTATACTGTCTGGCCGTCTAATAGTTTTGTAAGTGCAGATACATTTTTGGTGATGTTCACTTGGGACAGAGCTGTAGATTGAAGAATTCTTCAGCGGAGACACTCTTGAATTACCTATAAGGCTATATGAATTTATTAGGTACAAGTTCCTTCTCTTTAACTCCGTCCACTTTTTACCGGAAAGCGCTTGAAGAAAAATGAATATGATTAGAAAATCACATCTAGGAGTCTGGTTCTATTATCGCACAACATTTTCACCTAGACAACTCTACTTTTGCTGCCTCAACTTGATCTGAATCATTATACAAATTGTCAAATTCTCTACTCATCAGCTTCACAGAGTTGATATGTATGAAACAACTTCAACAGCAACAGCTTGACTAGAAAGTAAAATGATATGGTTTTCTTAAGTTTTCTTAGTAAATACTTTCAATCTAGACGTTGCATGATACTTTTTAAGTAATCACTACAGTATGTTTCATTCCATCCATCTTCTTTGCAGCATATTAATCCACGTCCATCACTGTAACCCAACCCGAAGGTACAATAAGCAACCCTCTCGGTAGAGGGGGGCAGCTGGGTACTTAGGTTGTGTGGAAGTTCCAAATTATAGTACATTGCTCTTCAGCGCAAGCATTAGAACCACAACCTCGAGGATTTGATGCTTGTTTTCCCCTGTATCCATTGGCCGAGGCTCATGGACGTGAATTCAATCTAAACTTGGATCTGCTGTTGCTGGTCCAGGTCAGACAGCTCAACATGGTACCAGAGCATTTGCACTCTATGCTTTAAAAGGTAAGTTCTGGGTTAAAGCTCTGTAACCGTTAAACGGAAAGCTAAAAGTGTGAGTCCAGATTTGTTGTTGTTTTATTCTTGTAGATTGCTTGTTGGACTGGAGACTTTTATTCATTATGTTGAACAGTTTGATTAGTAAGCCTAATTTGAGGCCAGAACAATGAGGTGGTCAGTCATTGAAGGATCTGTGATTGCTTTGCAATCTTGGCTCCTGTAATGTCACATTTGAAGGATCTGATTCTGTTAAAAATGAGTTGTTATATGGTCAGCCCTGTCGTTCTCCTTGCCCTATCGTCTACAACCATAAGAGGTAAGGTGATCATCAAGGGGTCATTTTTCAAAGTCCACTTGAGGGGTAACCGATTTTGTGGTTTTATGCGGATATGGGCGGGTTTGAAACAATCCGCTACATGGTGGATGTAGGAGAAAAAAACCTACATCCACCCATGCATGTACTAGTGGATGGGTTCCTGCCATCCGGGTTGGTGGAAACCCCTTCCTCGGTCTGACGGACGGTGGCGATGTCCTCGGCGGGAGGCAGCTGTGCATGGAGTTGGTTGTGTGGCGGCGGCGGTTTTCGATCACGGCGGTGGGGCTCCAGAGGGGGGCAATGGCGGCTAGGGTTGGGAGTTGGGAGATTTGTTTTGGTCCATGACTTTGGGCCCTATTGTGGTTCCGGGTTTTTGATGGGCCTTGTTTCTTTTCTGATTTTCAGCCCTTGTCTGTATATTATGTGTATCTTTTCCTTTGAGCCCAACCCATTGTATTCTTAATGAACCACTCTTTTCAAAAAAATACGAGTGGATGGGTTGGGTGATTCGAGATGATGGGTGGTTGGATGGATTTGGTGAGTTTACAAAATACATTCCAAAATGTCACATAATTCACATTGTTCTAAATGCAAGATGAAAGAAATTTTCAAACTAAATAACATTTAATCCATAAATCATATGTATCATTTAGCTTACAATATTACTACTAGTAATTGTTCACAAATCACCAAATATTCAACTGATAAATATGACCCAAGTCTAATAATAACAAAATAAAAAACGAAGATGAAATATTATCTTATCTAGCTAACTGTCCAAGTCTTGAAGTCACAATCACTCGTCGAAAACTCCTAAAATGAACAATAGAATAAGCCAAATTAGTATACGAACAATGAAAGTTAACAAGGAATCATAGAAGGAATTAAAAATATGATATAAATTTCAAGCCAAGGAAACAAATTAGACTTTGCAATTATCCTCAATCATCATAATTTTGAGGAGATATTCATTTGGAAAGAAAGGATAACTAGAGATTTGAGAAGATATTTTGATTGAAATTGGGTGAATTTTTTGTGCTTTTTTTTTACGGTTTTAGTTTAGGTAAAGCTACATGTTAGAGATTCGATGGTTTAAAGTTAAAATATTGGATGGATCATGAATCAATCATAGTCCATCCACATCTACCCAATCTTTAGGAGATCACCTATTTTACAACTCACACACATGACACAAACACACCCATAACAACCACTGGCAATATTTTGAATGGGTCGATTGCGGGTGAATTTGTGGGTCAACCACCCAAGCCTCACCCCATCACAATTCCTTTTTCAAAAGTCAAGCTCATAAATATGTTTGATTCAGTTTTAAGTTTTAATTTTGAAAACAGATAACTCTTATAAATCCCTGAGCAGATATAGACAATATTTTCATAATGTTATCAATTTAAGTTTTACCAGTTTCAAGATTTTTTATACTTTACAAAGCAACATTTCTGCGATCAATCAGAAAAGAACAAATAATATGCATCGTTCAATTTGTAGTATATAGAGTTAGGCGCTGTTAACTTATTAATTATTATACAAGGAGAGTGAAACTTTTCTGATTATGAATAATTGTTTACTATGTCTCCTCTCGACTCGTGGGGACTGGGGATGCTAATAGTTTTCCAAGTCATTGTGCCCCTTGAAGGAAAAGAAGAGAGTTGGCAAAGAGACAAAATGAACTCTTTATTCCACGATTTATATTTCACTTTTATGTACCAAAACTCAGTGGGGGAGGTCATCATATCAGTGTATATACGAGGTGGTACAAATTCTTACATCTTCCTGTGTTACAGCAAACAAGTTACAGCACCATCCCATGATTTCATCTAAAAGGTTCAACCGGTTCGGTTTCTTCAAGAAGGGTGGCAGCTTCAAAGCACTCGGCAGCTTCGAGCAATGATGAAGGGGAACCCTCATCTCTGTGCACCAAGCCAAGGTTGTACCAAGCCTGTATATTCAATCTGTCGAGCCGCAGTGCCCCCATTAGAAAGCTTCTCAATATTTCATTGGATCCGCCGCCCAGCTTCCTCAGAACAACTGTAGTGGATACCAAACTCGGGACATGGACCGGGTCGATGCTCAACCCCATTATGAATGCCTTCAGTGCTTCCTTTAGGAGGCCTTTCTTTTCCAGAAGGGTGCCTGCAATAATGGACTAACCCCGTTAGCTTCGAAGTTTCGGAACTCGCATACATAACATCCGGAAAGAATGACTGTTTCTCTGCAGAAGTTTTCTGCATATCTTGTGATGTTTGCATTGTTAAAAAGGAGTTCAAGGGGGGAAAAGGAAGTTCACTAAGGAAACTAGAAAGTAATCGACTCAACAGCCAGTAGCTCTGCATAAGGAAGAACATTCGAGATCTGATTTTATCACTTGAAATGGAAGTTTATAATGAAGTATGGATCCATGAGTTTCAGTCAGGCATCCAACTTACCGGTGATATGACATCTAGTAGCTGAGTAAGACTGAATCTCTTTGGATTTAGAAAGGCAGACCTCAGCATCTCGCCACCGAGATAGGCTTATGTATAGAGAGGCTAAATCATGCCAGACTTCCAATTCCAATTGTCTAGCAGGGATTCCATCAGTCTGCCAGAAAATAAACAACCAGTAGCACAAAACAATTTAAAGGAAATCCTGAGAAACTATTAGAAAGTATACAACAAGACAAGGGAAAAAAGTTTCCATTGAAGGTGAAACAACTCAACACTAGAAAGATAATATGATTGGCGACAACTGTGAACAGACTCATCCACAAACCTTATGTAGCTTCATTCCCGAGCCAAAATTCTTATTATGAACTTGAATGACAGCTAGAAGTTGTGTATACGTCTGAATGGCACTCTTTACATGGCGTCGAGCAACCTGTAGCTTAGCTTTAGTTCTCAAGAGCTCTCCCTGGTCCCATTTACTAGTCTGATCCAATGCAGCATTGATGACATTTTCAGCATCAAAAAAGCGTTTCTGACCTGATAAGATCCGTGCCAAGAGTAACCATCCTTTGACACTCGAGCCAGTTTCCCGTTTCACATACTTCTTTGCATAATGAAGTGCATAATCTAACTTTCTCTGCTCTGCATTCTCTAGACTGAGATGGTACAGAATATCTGTGTGTTCCAAATTGGTCATTTTGGCAGCAGTTTCAAGGGCCTTAAGTGACTCAGACTGTTTGGGGACCCTCTCGGAGTCTGCAAATGCTGATCTTGAGCACGAGGATAGTGATATTCCCAACAGAAGATTGGCAGTGCTTTCTAATTGATAGCATCCATTGTCCACATTTTGAAGGGCTCTACGGGCATAATTTACACCTTCTGCAGCAAGTTGAGGGGTCGTCCCACAAATCTTCGAAGCCATTAGCAAACCAGGAACAAAATTTGGGTCCTCACTGTTGTGCAACAGTTTCTTAAGTAGATTTAGAGCCACCATATCCTCCCCAGCACTACAATAACAGAGGGCAAGAGTATGGTACATTTCCCTTCTGCTGATTGTTCCTGGAGGCAATTCCTCAATGTGGTTGGCTAATGCTACTAGATCCCCAGATACTGAGAGAGCAAATGACAAATGGTCCAAGATTGATGGATCCCACTCAATCTTCTTAAGAGAGATTTGTCTCAGCAGAATCATTAATAACAATATGGCCTCTTCTAAGTTATTTCTAGGTACAAACGAACTACCCATCTGGGAGCGCAGGTCTGGAGGACTTGCTTCCCCACCATTGTACAGAAGAAAAATTGCAAACTCCCTTTGGATCCTTGCAGTGGTGTGGACATCAAGGTTCCAACGATAAAGGAGAGCCCGTCGGTAAGACATAATTGTCTCATGTGAATTATCTGCATGTTTCCATAATTCTGGAAGCAACTCAACTGCCTTGCTTACAATCTCCTGTAATTTACAGTCAGCAGCAAAGTTTTCAGGCAAGCCTCCTGGTAAAGAAGATTCAACTATGTCCACAACAACTTTGCATGATTGAGCAGCTTCTGCAAGAATAAGTGTGAATAATATATTAGCAATTCAATGATCCATCTATTTCCTGTTAATCCACTGTGCTAATCTAAAGAAGAAATTGATGTGCGCGCAACAGTATTTCTACAAACAAAGAATCCACAAAATAGATAGCCAGTGAAATGAAGGTACCTTCAAACCTTGCGAGATGTTGCAACGATTTAGCTTTCAGAAATACAGCTTCCAGCAACAAGCTGATTGCATGCATAGACAAAGGAGGGCTGTTGTAATTCTGTAATGGCCTCCTACGTTGATCACCATGTCTGGCAATACTAGATTTTATTTTAGGAGTGACTGCAGAAGGATCTATACCTTCAAAGACCTGTAACGCGGCTTCAAAATTTCCTTTCTGATATTCAATTCTCCCTAACAATGCTCTAGCTTCCTGTAAAGTACAATGGTGTTGGTATCAGAAGTAAGAAGCTATTCAGTCAATCGGAAATAAGCATGCAAAAAATAAGTTCGATTTATTTTCATTTCTCGTGATAAGAAAATCCAGCAGTCGGAATTTGTAAGCCAAATTAGTAAATCAAGAACAGGATACATATAAAACTGTTCCATGCTAAACAACATATTATATAGCAAATTGCAAACAACAGAACACATAATACAGAAGAATAGTAGTATGATGACAGTTCGACAGCAAACATTGACGAAACAACCTACCAAGTTTGTAAGCAAAATTAAAGGAAGCCGTGCGCCAAGAATCAAATGAAGCTGGGAATATTTTGATTAAGTGTTTAGCAAAGTAAGACAAAGGAGAAAAAAGAAAAAAAACCTCATTATTCAACGAGCCACGCCCTCGAAGGGATAATTCAGCTTCCTCTATGTTGCTGGCATCTGGTTTCAGGCCTGCCTCCCCACTTTTGCTACTTCTAGATGAACGAGCACTCGCTGTGTGATACCTTGGCGAAGGTGTATCCCCCGACCCAGGTACCATCTCATCCGCCGCTACTAGTTGCTGTCCAGAGCAGAAACACTTCATTATATTCCGAAAATCTTTCCTAACTGTGTTGCTGCTCCCAGTTCTTGTCCTATGTCTACTCCTCATATTGTTTCACCACAGTCAACAATCTTTAGCACCACAGATGAAAAGAAACAGCAATGAGAACCACGGATGTGAGACCAATAGCAATGCTTCCAACACTAAAACCGACGGTCTCTAAAACTCATCTAGATTCAAGCTTTTGGCGGTAGCACAGAGCATACGAAGCATCACAGTAAAGGGAAAAAGAAGCCCGACAATTCAAACGACGAAATGACAAGCAAATTCAGTATAATCAAAGCTATAAAAAAAAAAAACTCCTGCAATTAGAAGGGGTAAAGGAAACAGAAACCCGAAATTTCAAACCAGCGAAAGGTAGCGACAAAGCAAGAATATAAAATACAATTCACCATCATCCGAGACTCCATAAATTAGCTTGTATCCATACATGTACATACATACAAGGGCACGAAAGTACTCACCTTTGGTTTGCAGTTTTGGCAGAAAAGCAGGGGCAAAGAACCCTTAACGCATCACCGCCGACAGCAATACCCATCTGCTTTGAAGAAAAGGGAAAGCTCTCGCCTTCCCTCAATGGAGAAAAAAAAAACCCCCACGGAGAGGAGAATCAACCAAAACGGGAGAAAGAAAGAAAGCAAAGCGTCGAACGAGTTTCTTTCTAATAAATCTCCAACTTTTGCTTTCCCTTTGAGCGATTCTCCTCCTCCTCCCCTATCTTTTCCTTTTTCTTCTCCGGCAGCTCCTTTTGGGCCCGATTTCCGATTACTCTTCTTCTTCTTCTCTGCTTCTCCCGGATCTCACACTGGAAAAAGTTCTCTAATTCAGGGTTTAATGGAACAGAGGAATTTCGAGAGAGAGAGAGAGAGAGAGAGAGAGAGAGAGAGAGAAGAGGAAGAGAGAGGAAGAGGGAAGGTGAAAAGGAAGGATCGTCGTGAGGGAGAAGATTTGCGACGGAGTTCAAGAAGAAAAGAATTGAATTTTAAAAATTAAAAACAAACTGATTCACTAATTAAAAAAAGGGATCTCTCCTGTGCTGTGCTGGCCCGAGAAAATTCCAATTTGGGCCCATTCTGGAAACTTTGATTTTATTATTATGAAATTTAATTATTCTATGAATAAAATCATCCCCGGCCGTGGGAGTAACGGTGAGTGTTGACGCCACGTTGGGGGACAGGGTTCGTAAATGTGATGTCCCTCTCCTCCGCCATCAGTTTCTGCGCTGGCCGGCCCCCGCTATAACGGTTATTAACGGCAGTTCCATCCGGTCAACTCTTCCACTATGTTTGGCAAAAAGAGGGTGCAAGTTCGAGGGGGTGCAAGTTGGGGGTGCAACTTGGTGGAGGGTGTAAATGGAGGGGTAAATTGTTGTTTGGATGAAAAAGTAGGGGGTGCAAATAGAGTAAAAAGTAAGTAATTATATTATTATAAAATAGATTTATCAATTTATAAAATATTATCACAAAATAATAACATGAAAATTCAATATATAATAATAATAAATAATAAATAAAAATAATTTTAATAAAAATAATTATTATATAATAATGCTCAAATATAATTATTTATAATAATAATAATAATCATTGGTCGAGCAACCTCGAAACTCGAAATCCAACTCGTAACTGGTCATCCTAAGGGGGTTCTCGTGTCTAACTTTAAATTGAATATGGTCAAACTTAGTCAAACACGTTCGAATCTATAAGTTTTAACTACTTATTAAAGTAAATCGAGTTAACTAAACTGTTCCTCTCTATCTTTTCAACAAACGCTTCTTATCTCTAATTTTCAATGCAAATTCGGGTCAATTAAGAGATATCGATTTGACTAGGCGAACATTGACAAACTTGCTCTCCGAGTCAAATGGTCAACCCCAAACAACTTCTACACTAATATAGATATAAGAAAAAATTAATAATATTAATTATTATGTAATTATAATCTAATTAAAAATCCATAATTCCCCTCCTCCCCCTTCCCCCTCCCTTCCTTCCTTCCCTTGCACCCCAATTTGGGGGGTAAGCCGAAATAGTGAATTTACGCTCACGTTTTGCACCCCCCTACTGTTACAAAATAACCAAACGGGGGTAAACACCTTGGAACTTGTGTTTACCCCCCAAACTTGCACCCCCCTTCCATTTAACCCCCCCCCCCTTCCCAAACATAGTGTTCAATTTGATCGTAACGCTAACGCACATGGACTTCATATGCTCATCTTCATCTTCATGCACTAGATAAGGGCTCGGCCCGTTGGCCGGATGCATTTCATAAAAAACAATAATTGTTTGATGCAATGACATTTTATTAGGTATCAGAAAAGAGTCCAAACTATACAATTATTAGAAAATCGGAAGTTCAGATGAAATAAAATTTTCACTTAGTATAATTTACCTCATCCCAACCATGAATTTTGTAGGAGTTTCCCTCCTTCTCGAAAGTCATCATTCTTGATATAAAATTGAATTTTATTTTGTTGTATGTGGATTCAGTTTTATTTGAAATCGATGAATCTATTATAAACCTCAATTAATATAGATGGTGTATGAATATTTTCCAATTTCGAACGTGAATTTGAAAACATTTTCAAAAACATGGACATCTTCAAGAAGTTGTGACAAGTCAAAAGAAGAAACTTTGACGTTCTCTTATTTAAAACATAACAAAACTATGGAATGCCACGTCTATTAACTAATCCACAATTACATTATGATCATCACTAATTTCCAATATATAGGATCAGCAACTAAGGTTGGAAAATAATAATATTTTCATGAAGATGTGTTGGACATCTAATGTAGTGCACTCCACTTTAATTTCTAGGTAACTTCGCCAATTACTGAATTATTTCATCTTTGCTAATAGAGAAGCTATCCCTGAATGAAACCATGTTTGAATGTGTTAGTCATCAATAATGATGCACTAATTCATAGAGATCCATCAATTAAAATTGTTTAGGAGATGTGCTCCCCGTCATTGGAATTATCTCCATCATCAACACTCTCTTCATTTTACTCAAATCGTCATTATTTCCATCACCAAATCTACTAAATCCTAAGAAAAAAAAAATCAATGATAAAATATTTGCAATTATGAAACACTGTTTTTAAGATGTTAAATTTACCTCGTCCAGGTTATCAACATCGTCTAAGATTACTCTTCTTCATCGTTCCTTACCTTGAAAACTGTGTATTCACTTATTGGGTTCAACATATTATAATCTATGAGTTTGATGTTAAACTTATAATTCCCCTCAAGTCATAGGAGATTAAGTGGTGGAGGTCCTTTGGTTCTGCCACTATCTTCAAATAGCTTCATATTAGCCAGTCCAAAATATCTAGGGGGTCGTTTGGATGGATTTATTGCAAATTTGTAATACACAACAAAATACATTGATGCAATGGCATGAAGCTTGAGTGGACAATATCGCTTCTTGTTTGAAGGAGGTTATGCACCAAAATGTAGTCGTGTTTCTTAGTTTGACATCTCTGCCTTGGAGAAATATGCATTGACCTAAACATTATATAACATTAGCATTTGAATATCATGACTCATTAGATTAAAATAGAGTGCTCGTTTGCTTCATGGATTTGAGAAATGAAGGTTTTGGTTAAAACCTGGGTTTTACAAAACCATGGATATATGATGGAATTGCCCCATTTGGTTTTTGGTACAAACCATCGTCTGCTTGTTGGATTTCATGAGGGATTTGACATTGTAATATTTGTGGTTGTTTTAGAAATTTACCTTAGCGCCATTATTGAGTATTATTTATTTTTATGGTGGGATTAATGGTTGAGTTTGATCTTTGACTCTCGTGGAGGTGGGTGCATCTCCATAACTTTTATCACAAAAATAATTATTTTAAAATTATAATGTATTTTTGGAAACTTTAGATTTATAATAAGATTTATAGAAGCTCAAGTTCGTTTCATATTAGAAAAATTAATTGGTATCTTTTTTTCCTTTTGGGATTACAGGGACAACTCAGATCATCAAACAATATTTGGATACATCAAAAAATTTCATCTTTAGAAGAATTTGCAGTTTAGTTTTCAAGTCCTCATAGTTCAAATATGAGTCGCAACAAATTGTGTGTTGAAACTTATGAAAAATTCTTTTATTAGGAATGCTTATTGCTTATTAAATTGTGGTTAAGTCCCATCATTCTGAAATCAACTCAAAGTAACCTTAATACCCCACTCAATGTATAGTAAATATATAAACTACCATGTACAATAACCAACAATTCCATAAAAATAAATCTCAAACTCAAGGTAAAACTGGTACTCATCAATGACAGATCTAAGCTCTTCAATTCTTCCAATCCAATCTCAATAGTCAATACCATTTGAAGAGCAAACTATTCAATCTTGGGATCAAGATTACTCCGACAAAGCGGAACACAAAAGATTTACATAGAGATTTCGGAGAATAAGATCTCTAGGAGTTCGTTCACTGTCATATCAGACAAATGAATTGGTGAGTTTCTACACTTTTAGAGGCAACATGATTCTCAGTCTCAGGTCGTCAGACGATATTTGGATATATCAAGAAATCATTCTTTAGAGGAGTTTGCAATTCACATTCAGGTATGCATAGCTCAAGTATGAACCGCAATAAATTGGAATATGAAATTTTTGACAAATTCTTTTATTGGGAATGCTTGTAGAACGAACACCATGCTATATGACATTTATATAAGTTTTCTATTTTAAACTACATAAATAATTAATTAAATTTTATTGAAAAATTATATCATCGATGTTAAATAAATGAGATATAATACCTTGAAAAGTAATAAGAGACGGATCACATACTTAGAATTATTATAGATATAATAATCTGATTGTAAACCAACAATAATCTAGATTAACTATCCTAATACAAATTGAACTCGGCTAGCTACTTATAATAATACATAATAACAACATGAACAATTAAAGGACGAAAAAACCGAAATACTTTTCGTGGAAACCCAAATGAAATAAGCCCGCTGCAAAACATAAGAAAAAACCCTAACCTAAAAGACTAATCAATCCTTCCGTACTATGCGCATTGAACAGGAAAATTTGATTTGGGTGGGTGTTGAAATAGAATCTCCATATATTATTTGGAGGATATGCCATTTTATATTCTCTATGCTTAGCCCGATTTTTAGAAATATTTTTCTACAACATATAAGTAGAAACTCCAATTTGGAGCTTCTGTGAGAAACAGTTTTGAAAATACAACATTATCCTTACCTTATTTAATTTTATCTCATAAAATAATTTTTTTCTTTCATTTCTATCATTTTAAAAGTAAATTAAATTATAAAATAATATTATTTAATATAAAAGAAATCTAACAAGATCCATTTTTACTACTAATATTTTCTAGAATTTCATATTTTACATTAGAAATCCTTTTCAGTAGTTTTACATGACCTCTTATATTAAAAAGCGCTTCTAATAATTTTTCAACTAAACACCAACGATTTTTTATAAAAAGTACTTTTCTAAAAGGTCAAACCATAAGCTGCTTATACAAAAGCCACACTGGGGCCAAACTGACTAATATTTTGGTTATTTGATAGAGGATTCTACCAATATGTGATTCTAGGTTCAAACTTTTTTTTAGGGGAAAAGTCATTCTACAAATTCAACTTACACTATAAATGTACAAGTTAATATAAAGATACAAATAAATTTGTATATTTATTAATATGGTATAAGTTTAGTTCGTACCATAAAAGGAATATGTATATTTATCTTATGATACAAATTCAGTTTTTATCATGACATGAAGATAAAAATTTATTTTGTATCATACAGAAATTAAAAAAGCACAAACTGAATTTGTATCATAAATTAAAGGTGCAGGTTCAGTCTGTACTATAAAGTTTTTTAATAATCAAGCACTGTAAAGATCGCCTATTAGATATTGTCTTTCAACCATTAAAAAATATTGTACGGGTGAACTGCATGTTCAGTC